TATAAAATAAGTCCATGTTCACTAAAGTAAATTTGATAAGTACTTGGAAGACAATGTCTAATAACCCATTTGGTTTTCCAGATTGTCTTATATCCTGTTTTATTCACTGTCACCACATAATCTTTGAAAACATGGTTTCTAATGGCTCCATAATTTATAATAATGTAACTGTGTGCCTGTTTTCTTATTATAAGACATTTAGGGTATTTCTATTTTTAATGGAAATATTGTTATAAATAGTGTGATGTGATGACTACAAATGGGGATTTTTGACTGTATTCTTTATTACTTCATTTGGATAGATATTCCATAACTGGCATTACTAGGTCAAAATTTATGCATCTGTTTTAATAACCTTGCTACATACTTTTGTTTTGGTTTATAAAGTCTCTACTATACGTTGCTACCACCACTATATGTGGAGTGTTGTGAATTTCATCCTCAAATTCTTCAATATTCTAGTAGTTGGTAGTTTTTTTTACGTCGTTGCCATTTCAACAGATATAAAATGATAAAATTAATATCAGTATGTTTCTAACTATTAAAACTACATAACATATTTTCCCCTTGTATGTAGTCCATTAATGCTGAACTTTTAGTGGCTTGGTTTAATACGCTTTCCCCAAACCTACATTCTGTATAGCAGAAATTTCTTTGGAAAAATTTCAGAACACACATCTCTTTATAATAACCTGGGAAGTAATTTTTCTATTAGGGCATTTGCATACTGTATGAAAATCTGGCCAGAACTTGAACAGATGTTTCGAAACCTTGGGGTACCTTAAACTCACACATCAAGGTACCTTGAGATCTTCCACAAGGACAGAGAAAGTCCTGCTTCTTGGTAGCATTCCTATATGGGTATGTTATGTTTTAGGGGTGTATCGGGGTGTACTGCTTTTTGTTCCTGATTCTGCTCATGAACTTGTCATCTCTTTGACCAACGACTGTTGAAATTAGAATGCTTTCAATAAGGCATGCCTACATCATGTTTATCTCAAACCTGTTCCTGCTGAAGGCTTTTGTGACTTGCTTTCACGCATCAGGGTTACTGCTAATGTGTCCCTAATACTTTGTTGAGAAGGTGAAAGTGGTAGTTGAACGTCACTTTGAAGTCAGTCCTAGGAATGCCCCCTAAATTCTCCCTGGCTTTCTGTTTTCTAAGTTATCATTTACTGAGCACCTCTTACATGCTAGGCACATTTCACACTTGATCTCACTTAAGCATTATTACAGTCCAATAGAGTTTGGATAATAATGCATTTTCACTGGCAAAAATAACCTCAGAGAGATTAAATCATTTGCCCAGAGACATAGAGATTATAAATAATAGTTGATAAATACACAGAGGCTCAACATTCCTGTTTGGTAATTATAGAGGCTGTAAAAATAGACATGTCAAGGGCTCTCAACTACTGAGTCTCCAAAAGTCAGCTGGGATTCTTTTAATTATTTACATCCAGGAAAAATCTTTTACCTATTCCCTGAATAAAATATGACATGTTTTAAAGTAACTTTCCAAACTTTCTTGCTTTAAGTTAATCATTAGTGAGAGTCCCCAGTGTTTCTCAGATTGTACGCAAACCCTGAAAGGACAGCAGAAATTTACACAGTGGCCCCAGGCTTTTAGATTTATCCTACAGCTTGGGTTGAGCAGTTTGAATTTATATCCATATATGTCTTGCAAATTCTTTTGCTTTGTGGCTTAGTAGCCAGGCATTTACCCTCTGGACAGTGCAGTCAGGTGTGGCCATAAAAACAGGAGTTGATCATTTATGAAAGCTCACTGTGGAATAAGCTAAAGGTGCTTTGAGGACATGCTTTTAATGTCCACTCTTAAAAACCTGTATTTCAACTTCCCTGGAGCTCAGGATTTTAAAGATCAAGCTTCCTAGACTCTTTAGCCTCTGCAAGTTCAGATAACCTGTTGCTATTTTTGAATATAAATAGACCTTATTAGGGATTAAAAGAACTGCCCAAAGGTTTTTCCCCTTTTCTCATTTTGGTGTTTGGATTGTCAGCGGAAGTCTTGAGCTTTGAGACTTGGCAAGGCAGCGCCTTCAAACAAACATCCTGTGGACAAAATTGTCTGGCCCAGCACTCGGTGTTCCAGGATGATTGACAGGAAGCAGCATGTGCTGGGAGGAGGGAGGATGGACACTCTGAGCACAGTGGCTTCCAGTTGCCTCAAACAATATCCAAGCTCCCAGGGAGCTCATACCTTTTTTATCCCCCATCTATTGAGGTGGAAGCTTAAATAGCTGGCCTTGGTGGGGGTTAAGGAGGATGTGGGCTGGGCAGGAGGTGAGAGGAACCTTGGAACTCAACCCAGCAATTACAACCAACCAACCAAAACCTTTCGATAATGCTTCTACTTGAAGGATAGAAACATAAAGATATGCAGAGATCTGGGATGACACCTTGAATCAAACAGTGACCAAAAAAGGAGCCATCCAAAACTAAAGCCAACACTGATCACCTTGGGGAATGGGGCTTAATGTAGTGAGAAGAAGTAAAGAGAGATCTGGAAGGGTGAAAATAAGTGAAATGAAACTCACATGTAAAAGAAAATGGACATTTAAAAAAAATCCAGCTACGTGCCAGAATTTTACGCATGTGTTTGCTTTTGGTCCTATTGCAGGTTTTTGAGACAGGTATTTATGAATTCTTTCAGATGATAAAACAGGCTCAGATGAGGCTAAATTGTCTAATGTGACAAAATTAGACCATGACACAACTAGTATTTGAGTTCTAGCCCTTTGGACCCTCCAAGCCCATGCATTTTCCTCTATCACATTTCCTCCCTAAACTTCTCTAAGTCCTGCCCTCTTCTTTCTCTGCTTCAGTCCTGGTGGGAAATATATAGAAGAGAATTTACCACCCTAGCTCAGTCTCCTATAATTTCCAATTTATAGCTTCCATTCCTGTCTACCCAAACCTTTCACCATTGTCTGACTCATCAGGTATTTCCATATCTCTGGGTCTTTATCATGTTGTTTCCTCTCCTACAATGCCTTTCTCTTCATTCACCCTAATACAATCTACCATGCATCCCTCAAAGTACACTTCAAATGCCAACTTCTTCAAACAGCTCATGTATCTTACCGTCTCTCACTCTCCCAAAGAGGATTAGTACCTTCCTAACACTGTAGTCTTACAGTAATTTGTGTCTATCTTTCGTTATAATTATCACATGTTATTTGGGATCTGACTATCGCTAGTTATTAGTAAATCATGAACAACAACAACAACTAAAATCACCTTAAAACCTAGGCCTATCTTTTGGTGACTTGATTATCGCCCATTTGTGAAAGTGTTGGGCTTCAATCCTAACATTGGTAGAAGGAAATCTGTTTCTCCCTCTATCTCCGAGAGTCCCCAATAGATTCCTTACAATATTTTATGAATTAATATAAGAAGAAAGGGTGGGCAGAGACATTGGAAGAACCAGTGGAAAAGTGACTCTCTGTCCAATTAAGAACCAGTGGAAAAGTCTCTCTGTCAAATTCCTCCCTCCCTCCCTTCCTTCCTTATTGAGTATCACTTAAGAGTTTTGTGCTAGGGTAGATGCTGGGGACACAATGGTGAGCAGAACTTACACTTCTGCTCCTGTGGAGCTACAGTCCATTGAGGAAGACAAACATTACCAATATAGCACACAAAATATACAATTGTCAACTGTACTAGATGCTATTTAATAAAATGATCAAGGGGCTATATGAACCTAATTCTGATGGACTTGACCTAGTCTCAGGAATAGGTAGGTGGTGGTTGACAGTCTAAAGGGAACTTTCAGGGAAGGAAGTTAAATCGATCTGAAAAGTGATCAGGTTGCCACTAAATCTTTAAAGGTAAGAGTTGTTGTTATTGTTCATAGAAGACAAGGTGCAGAGGGAGTGCCTCTTCCACCAGGGAGATGAGAGATGACAGTTTCATGAGAGAATGCTCTGTTTTTGCCACCTCCAAGATTTGGCTCATAAGATGAAATCTCAGAATAGAAAATACAGAAAAGTGCACGCCTCCTATTCTCAGAATAGAAAGAATAGAAAGGTGCCCACTTCATATTCTTTCATGCTCAATCAGCAAAACAGTAGAACCCTGAAAATTGATGATAAAATTCATGAACTTTTTTTTTCAAATTGCATTTCCCCTAAAATCTCCTATGGCTATATAAAGTCAGCTTTTGTGATAGGTATGTATGTGTGTATACACATATATATGTTATATATCATTGTCTGTTTATTAAACCTCTCCCCTTCACTTTACAGCAAGACTAATTGTTTTTTGTTTTATATATTCTTAGGATTATTGAGAATGGAGGAGAAATGAGGGTTGGGAATGGAGGTAGTGGAGGTGATAAAATAGGTCACTCAAAATTATCCCATGCATCAAAATATTTAGGGGTAATTCATGGACGGTAGTCTTTCGAAAGAACATTCCATCTGGGGCTCCATGCTCCTTCTCTGGGTGTGTGAGGCTTGCAAAGAACTTATGATTTGGAGAGGCCCAGTGGCTAGCATGCCAAAGGCAGATGCTGGAACAGAGATGACACTCCCAAGACACCAAAAGCCAATGTGCTTTTTATCCTCATTCTCTGGGAAGTCAGGGAGATATGATTCAACCATATGTTCACACACAATGTGAAACCTTTAGGAGACATTGGCTGCCTGCCAGGTGCCCATCTCCCTTCCTTCTTTTCGCTTTTCTTCCTCTGAAGTACTGATTTTGGTGAATCATAGAGACCAAATTGGGGAAGTTATATTGTGTTTTCTTTAGTATTTGAAATGGTTGTGATACATCTAGATTTGTAAAAGTTTATATTATCATTATTTCTGTTTAGAGAACAAGTCAAACTTCCATACTTTGGCATTAAAAATTTTATACACCTCCCAGCCTATCGACTCTGACGACTCTGACTCCTTGTGTGAGGCAATCTAGTCTCCTTGATCTTGGAACAGTCCTGCTCTCTTTGTTCCTGCTGTTTCACTGACCAAGGCTGACCAACACGCACACATACCGCATTCTCTACCTGCGTCCGGTCTGTCTTCTTGAAAGGCCCTACCTGGTTCCCAGTGCCTCCCCCTTCTCCGAACTCACAACACTTCCAGGTTATCTGGCAATTCATCCTGTGTGAGTTTCAGAAAAAGCATGCTTTGCTGTATTGTACTGTTGTGGAACTTAGGTTATTATTTTATTTTTCCACTTTAGATTTTCCACTGTTTCCTGATCTCCATAAAAGCTGGTACCCTTATCTTTTCTATTTTTATCACCTTGGCTGCTTGAAACCCTGCATAATCTGAGCAAATCATATGTCTTTATAAATCACTTGTTTATTTATTGAAGAGATCATTTTCTTCATGTAAACTACCAGAAGAGCGGTCAAGGAGGAGAGAACTGATATCTATTGACAAGATATCACTATAAGTCACAGAGATAAACCTTTTATAGATACAATCTTATTTAATGTTTTCCCAGGCCTGGCAAATTATTTTTATATCCATTTTACAGATGCAGACATTTCACTTAGAAGTTTCGCGCTATACGCCTGGGGTCATACAGAGTATGTGTCAAGGCTTGGTTATCTTTTTTCCCTACAAAAACGTCTTCGTTGAAATAGTCATGAAACAGATGTTCACTGGAGTGCATGTGTCAGGTAATAGAGAAACAAGGATGAGCAAAAGTCAACCCAGGACGTGTTTTCATGGTAGTTGGGTGACTGGGGAAATATCGGCAAATCAAACAACCACCTAAATAAATGTGAAGCTGCAAATGAGAAAAATACTAGGACACAGAGATCCATCTATTAAGAAGGTATATAATAATAGGGCATTTGACCTATTCAGGGAAGGAAGGAAACATTTCCTTGTTGAAATCATACTTGATCTGCATATGTATGCTGAGTAAGAGTTTACTAAGTGAAGGGGAAAAGGTCATGTTCAGAGAAAGAACCACAAGTGCAAAGGCCCTGTGGTAGGAAGAAGTATGGAAAATAAGGAAGACTGAAAGATTCCAGGGTGGCTGGAGTGTGTGTGCCTGCATGTAAGTGTGTGTGTGAGATAAGGTGTGATGCTAAAAATATAAGGCTTTCTGGTTGTTTCTGCATTTATTTTAAAAACAGTCATGATGGCTCACAACTGTAATCTTAGCACTTTGGGAGGTCAAGGCAGGCAGATCACTTGACCTCAGGAGTTTGAGACCAGGCTGGACAACATGGCAAAACCCTATCACTACAAAAAATGAAAAAACAAAAAATAGCCAGGTGTGGTGGTGTGCACCTGAAGTCCCAGCTACTTGGGAGGCTGAGGTGGGAGGATTGCTTGAGCCTGTGAGGTTGAGGCTGGAGTGGGTGGTGATTGCACCACAGCACTCCAGCCTAGACAACAGAGTGAGGCTCTATTTCTAAATAAATAAATAGAATAAATAAAAACTGAATCCATTCAAGAGACTGTAGTCTATGAATGACATGATGACTTTAATGCAGAGAGCAGACGGGAGCGAAGTAGGAGTGGAAGAGGGTAAGCTAGGCAGGAGGCCATCATGGCAGTCCTGGTGATGGATGAAAATAGCTGGACTAGTAAAGGAAGCGTGGTGGGTGTCGTGAAGAAAAAGGGATGAATTGGAAAGCAGTTTAGGTGGTCCAATTGAAAGGACTTGTTGATGGACTGGATATGCAGATGAGGAAGAAAAGGCGGCAGAGAAGACACTAGAATTTTCGCCTGGGAAGCTTATGGAATTGTAGGGCCATTATTTGTGTAGGAAACTGCGAAAGGCAATCAGATTTGAGGTGGGACTTTTGAACAGATTTAGATGCATTGCAGGGTATCTTTATTTTTAAGGAGTATATATGGTTTTATTAGGCATAAATGGAGGTATCCACATTGTGTTTTCTACCTTGTTCTTCTCACATCATCATGTTTCAGCACGTGAGTTCACGTCCATACAGACCTGCCATTCTTTTTTATCCTGTGTGAGCAAATCACAGCAAATCATTTTAGACATTGAAACAGGATGCTAATTTGGATATGTATGTCTGAAGTTATGCGAGGTCTGCCCTGAAGATAGGCATTTATGACTCTATGTAGAGGTAGTTTTGAAAGTCGTGGACGTGCATAAGGTGGCTGGAGAACTGATCCATGGGGGAGTGATGTTGAATCAGGAACTGCTGGAGGCACCGAGGACACAGTGTCAATAATACTCCGTCCCTGGATTAAAAGGGCTCTCTGCTTAGTGGGCTGAACTTTGATTTATCAGATTCCAAAGCCTACAGTGTTTTAGTGACATCATCCTTTGAGAAAGCAAAGGCTAAAGTGAGCAGGAGTCAATGCTGCAATTCTTGACCTTCTAAGTTTGTTTTTTTTTTCTTTCCTTTTTAGCTTTGTGGTTTCCTGCCACTGTTTTGGCATGCTTGTTGTCGAGATTGAGAAATAGTATGTGTATTATATTTGCCAATTAGGCTCATAATCTTAAAGTATTTGCTTGAGCTTAGGAGGTGTAAACTTTTTACTTTGCAAGCAGGAAAACAGAGGCCCAGGCAGGGCCAGGGGTATTTTGAGTGAGATCATCAAAGGCCCGGAAATAAAGAGTAGAATCCATGACATCGCAGCTCCAGAAGCACTTTCTTTGCCTCCAAAACATGATCCTTAACTTACTTATGCTTTGATTTTTTTTTTTTTCACAAGACTAGATAGAAAAAGAAGTTGGTGTTGCTGTTCCAGACAGACTCCCGATCTGTCCAGGTGCTCTAGATCCTGATCATCCTAGTAATTGTTAGCACCAGAAACATCAGGATCAATCATCACATTTACAAACTAAAAATAGTGAAGGTGAAAATCGTAAATTGCTTCTATTCCAATAGCATTCCATTCATGGTAATAGAAATGAACCATGACAGGGCTAGTTTTACAAATGTTGAGAAGACAAATTTTCAAAAGCAAATACTGATCTGAAGAAACTTCTAGGAATTAGTGGCTCTCCAAAATAATATACATTCAAGGGTGATGCAATTTTTGAAAGTTATTCGTTTGAACAAGCAGCATTTCCATTTGGAAAAAAAAAAATTCAAATGACGCAGGAAGTGCCCAGTGAAAAGAAGCCTTCATTACAGCGCTGCTCTCCAGAGCCAGGTCTCCCTCCTCTGAGGCAACAATTGTTACTAGTATTTGTATTTATTTGTCTAGAGATATTCTATGTGTATCTTCCTTCTATATACAAATGGTAGCTTGTGATGCATGGTGCTGTTTGCCTTGTCTTTTTCTCTGGGACATAATTCCATATCTGTACATAGAGATCTGCCTTGTTCTCTTTGATGGCTTCAGAATACTTCATTGCAAGTGGCAAGTGTCCCCTAACTTTTTGAGCATCTTCTACCAATGGATATTTCAGTTGTTTCTAATCTTTGGCTATTAAATCAGTGATGAAAAGACTATCCTTTTATCATATTTACATAAGTAAATATATCTATAGCAGAAATTTCTAGATGTGTGATTAATGGGCCAAAGGGCATATATGTATTCACAACTTTGATAGATGATAGAAATATCCCTTTAAAGATGTTGAATCAACTTTTACTCTCATGAAAAAAATATGAAAGTGCTTGTTTCTCCCAACTACTTGTCAAGTTATCATTTTGTCATTTCACTAAAATGGGAAATGTCTTTAACGATATTGAAGCTATCTGTTTTGTCCCAGCATCTTGCTTGCTCAGGAATCAGAGGTTTCTAGATTCTGCTTGTATGGCTACTCAGAGAGATTTAAGAATGTTTTAGTGCTCTCTTTGGCAAATGACCAGTTTTTATGCCACAAAGAAGGGAGAACAGAGTTAACATTCATTGTATGTTCTCAAATGTTTGGTATTCATTTAGCTAGTGTTTATTAGACCCCTACTCTGTGCTCTGTTTTAGGTGCTTGGCATTTATCAGAGAATAATGCAGACATAGACTCCTGACCTCTGGGAGCTTATATTCTAGAAGAGGAATGAGACATTAAAAAATATGATAAACACTCAAATTAGAAGGTGGCAAATGTGGAAATACAAAAAAAGGTAGAAAAATATAATGGAGATTAGAAGAACAAGAGGCAAATAAATTTATGGGATTAGGTAGGATGGCCAGGGTAATCCTCACCGAGCAGCTAATATTTGATTAAAGATTTGATAGTGTTGGGAAGTTAGCCGAGAGACATCTGGGAGAAGAACCTTTCAAGCAGAGAATATAGGCAGAGTGAAAGCTCAAATGTGAGCCTGTGCTTAAAGCTTCCAGTGTGGCTGTTGTGAGGGTGGGTAGGGAAGGGAGAGAAAGAAAGGGAGAGAGGGAGATGCAGATTTCATAGAGCCTTGCAGGGCATTCATTTGGTGAGAATGAAATATGGCAGCATTGCAAGGTTTTGAGCATAATAGAGACATGATCTGATACATGTTTCAAAAAGTATTGCTTTTTTTTTTTTTTTTTTGAGATGGAGTCTCGATCTGTTGGCCAGGCTGGAGTGCAGTGGTATGATCTTGGCTCCCTGCAACCTCTTCTTTCCGGGTTCAAGTGATTCTCCTGCCTCAGCTCCTGTCTAGCTGAGATTACAGGTGTGCACTACCACGCCCAGCTAATTTTTATATTTTTAGTAGAGACAGAGTTTTGCCATGTTGGCCAGGCTGGTCTCGAACTCCTGACCTCAGGTGATCCACTCACCCCTGCCTCCCAAAGTGCTGGGATTAGAGGCATGCGCCACCGTACCTGGTCTCAAAAAGTATGACTTGGAATGTTATGTCGAATAATAAAGGTAACAAGATTCCCCAAAGGGCTGAGCATAAGATGTCAGAGGAAAACAGAAATTAAGAACAACTCCAAATTTCTCAAAGAACTTAAAACAGAAGTCCCATTTGACCCAGCAATCCCATTGCTGGGTATATGCCCAAAGGAAAATAAACCATTCTGCCAAAAATATACACGTATACTTATATTCACTGAAGCACTGTTCACAATAGTAAAGACATAAAATCAACCTAGGTGCTCATTAATGGTGGATTGGATAAAATAAATGTGGTATATATATATACCATGGAATACTATGCAGCCATAAAAAAGAATGAGATCATGTCCCTTGCAGTAACATGGATGCAGCTGGAGGCCATGATCCTAAGTGAATTAGCACAGAAACAGAAAAACAAATACTGTCATAATATTGTCACTTATAGGTGGGAGCTACACACTGGTATGCATGGAAACAAAGAAGGGAACAATAGACATTGGGGCCTACTTGAGGATGGAGGGAGAGAAGAGGTCAAGGGCTGAAAAACTACCTATTGGATACCATGCTGCTTGGGTGAAGGAGTATTCATACCCCAAACCTCAGTGTCCTGCAATCTACGTATGTAACAAACCTGCATACACAACCCCTGATTCCAAAATAAATATTGAAATTATTTTTTAAAAAGGTGACTCCAACATTTTTGTCATGAGTTACCATCAACTGATATGGTAAAGCTCACAGATATAGCACAATTTTGGGAGGAGACAAGAAGTTCACTTTTAATCATGTTGTATTAGAAACATCTATTAGATATCCAAGTGG